TATATATATATATGCTCAATATTCTGCGTGATACGATTCTTATTATTATTAACTGCAAAATAATAGAGCTATGTTTTATTCATACACGATGGTCATTACTTATTCGAAAAATTGCATTCTTGTACAGTATCTATTGATTTTTGTAATCGTTTAATAATGCTGAAGTGTAAAGAACATTCCATATTATCATTATACAATACTCGATTTGAACATAACTGCAGTTTCACAAGAAACCAATGGGAGTTGTTGATGTGCATTACGAAATGAAATGTGAAGGGTGCATTTTCAAAACAGAATATATCAAAATAAAATTAAAGTTCATTTATAGGCTACAAGATATCGATTTAAAAGTCTCTAACAACAATCCATGAAAAGTGTTATAAAATTCTGTATTAACAATGAATTATGATAAATTCTGTACGAAAAATCTATCTATATATTTCGAGAAAAAATTTTCGTGAACGATTGGCAATTTGTTACAAACCTGAAACATTCAACTGAGTATCATCGTGACGGAAATATTCACAGTTTTAAAATAAGAAAAGAATACTGATGCACACACGAACACAACGATGCAATCAACTTTTACGGTTACTTTATCAATGCCTCTTCAAATAGCTTTAAAACAAAGTTTCTCAACCTCGGTGTGAGTATTCCAGAGGGTGCGAGATACAATTTCATTTTTGTACATTAAAGTAGACGAGAGCAGAGTCGAACGCACACATGTGTACATATTAGCGAGGGCGGTTTTAACGTATGAATTCGTAACAATAGGTGCAACAATATCAGTTGATAAAAGCATCTACCACCGCTGACAGCGCCCCAAATTCACTTCCACATTCAGCGGTATCAAGTGTGCGTCTGAAAACATGCAAATTCTCTCCATGCAACGTATTTTTCAGAAAGAAAACGATGCACCAATAAAATCCTAAAATAACAACAAAATACTTCAAACGGCAATGAAAGAAACGATACTTCGAATCATTTCTTTGATGCATCCATTATATCAGCAGCAAGTAAAGGTTGCCACGAGCACATGAATTTAGTGATCTCTCTGGCTTTAGTGCATTTATTTCATTTGATTCATCAGATCACATGGTCAAGATTTTATACTTTTATTGCTTGTAAACAATACTAAGTCTGAATATGAAATGGAACAGAATTGTTGAAATATGCATAAGAAAAGGAAGAACTGCGAAGGTAATAGTGGAGAATCGAACCTCAGTGTTCAATCCTTATGCCGACTTTGTTCTTTTTTTGCGTCCTTGAGATATTCCGCTAAGTTCGCTTCAAGCTGTTTATAAAGGTCAGTTACAGATGGTAATGGTGGAATCTGAAAATTTGCTCAGAAAATTAACAGGTAAACACTTAGCGTAGTTATTTAATATTTGCATCCGTACACTCTGTCATTCAAAGTAAACGCACCATACATCATTTCCGACTGCTGCTACCTAATATTTGTAAGCATTATTAATCACAGAAAACCCTGCATAACCATTTGTTTGTAGAAAGTGCATCTTACAGGTCACCTGAGACCTCCAATATTTTGGTCAAATTTTGTTGAATTGATGATTACCAACCTCATAATTTTGATCGACATACGCACCACCATAAAAGCCAATTGCTAAACAAATCTGAAAAGTAGTATGCTTAATGCAGCGAAAAACTGACAGAATAACTACGTCTGTTGCCCAGAAAATGAACAGTTGTTTAGTATACAAATTAGTAAATGAGAAAGAATTATGCACGAGTTTTGGTTGTGATCGAATTCAAATGCTTGAAAGGCGTTGAAAAACAATCATCTCTTCAATTATTTCATAATCAAAAATGATGAACTTACGAGACTTTTGAAGAGAGTCATTCACGAAAGGGCTTTGGTCGAAAACAGCAAATGAATTTATTGCTGACAGCAATCTCCTGAATAATGAAAATAATCTAGCAACAGCAGATAACAAAACCTCCCTTCCCAGTGATGTTCATGCACATGACTTTTTATTGGGAACTAAAGGTGATGAGGCAGTAAGTTGCCACTTACTCTGCTTCTGTGACCGCAAGCTCCAAAACGGATTGTCATCAAAGCCATTTATATGCAACTAAATTGATATGCATAATAGTTCTGCGGAGTGTTGGACGCGCTGTCGAAAAACGAAAGCGCGCCGTTGCTATTCCGCTATCGAAAGGAAGTCCGCTATCCAGCTATCGCTATTGCATACTCTAAAAACCACCACTGAATGACGGAAAATTTTCATTGGTGAACACGCATTTTGAAATGAATATGGGAAACATTAAAAAATGGTATCCACCTCCACAT